AGCTTAAAGCGGAGCTTCTTGGTGTTGTGGTTGATAATCTCGGTATCCTCGAGCTTCAGCGACACGAAGCCCTGGTCGCCGCCAGTGAGCGCCTTCTTGGGCGCCGCGCCGACGGCCTCCTTGACCTTGGCCTCGGCCTTTTGCGCCGCGCTAGAGGAAGAGCCCCCGGCGAGGAAGTAGTAGGCGCCGCCCGCGACGGCGGCGGCACCGCCGGCGTAGAGCGCCGTGTTAGAGCTGCTGCCCTTGACGCCGGGCTCGGTGGCGTAGCGGCGGGCTTGCTATTTACCGGGGAGAAATACGTTAGCCTTTGCGATGCTTCATCACTTTGAGAAGATGGACTGGGAATCATTGTTGCATTTCGAGATCAAGGGATCAAGCTGAGGTTGTGATATTGACGTTTGGTGGTATGATGTAGTCGAAAGGGGGATCGCATGTCGGGAAACGCTCCGCGGTCCGCGGGGGAAAAAGAGGATTTCTAATGAGCGAAAGAGAGAGAGAGAGAGAGAACGGCGTCATCGATAGCTAACTTACCAGCTTGAGGGGCTGCGCGGCCCTGAAGGCAGTTCGGGCAAACATTGTGATAGTTCAATTGGGTCGGAGAGGTAATTGACTGCGTTCACAGGTGTTTGATTGGAAAATGGACCAAAAGGTGGTTTTTCTGCTGGGAGAAGCTTAGGTATCCGAGACTCGCGAAAGAGCTCGAAGCCTGCCCGCAATGGAAAGCTTTCCCCAGCGACCATTGACCTGTACATGACGTAAAAATGTCACGTGAGCTCATCTTTCCCCGTGTCCGGTCCCCGCCGAGTTGACCGAAAGGAAGGCACAGTAAGCGGCCAGCCGGTGGGAAGCCGGTGGGAATACCCGATGTGCATTTCTAAGCAGAGCCAACAACGTGCTCAAAGAGGCGCATTACGAATTGCGCCATACCATTGCGGATATTGATGAGGCCATTGGGCGCAGTCGTTGACAAAAATCAGCCTTACTGCATCTCGGTCATGAACTGGACAATTACTCATTCAGATCAACGAAGCACAATCGACTAGGGACATCATGCCGAAGAAGCCTTTCTTTGACGTTTCCCCAATAGGAGAAAGTAGGGATCACCCTGATTATTATATACAAGCCAACAGCTTCAATCGCTGTGGACTTAAAGATACGGTAGAACTCCACCCCCATCATCAAAGGGGATCTGACGTAGTCCCGGGCATTCAATGGCGAAGCATGCCGTCTTTGATCCTCGTTTTTGAACTCTGATGCGTCCCTCCGTCGGGGCCCTTGATCATAATGTTTTCCATCATCCAAGCAACATGCTGAAAGCGACCGACCAGGGGCTCCTCTCTCTTTATGTCTCGCGAAAAATAACAACTATACGCCTCTTGATCGTCAAACCGAAACCAGAAACGCTCCTCCCAAACGTTCCTCATATTACATGATTCGTGACAGGTCCCCAGAGGAGAAGGGAACCTGCCAAGCAACAAACAGCCTAGACTCTCAAGTCCGACGCAAGTGAATGCTTCTTGATCATCCGTCATCACCGCTCAGTGTCCATGGCGTCGGGGTCTGCAGGCCTCTCGGTAGGGTTTGTTGCTTTGGGTGTGCTAGATCGGTCGACTAGCGTGCTCTCTGTGATTGCCTCCGTCAAGGGGCTCACTTGGGAATCCGTCTTTTTCGCCCCAGTGTCCTGACTGCCTCGGCGCATCATGCCGATATCCTGATGAGAAGCTAGAGTTGGTGTGTTGGCCTGGCTGCCACCTCTTTGGCCGTGGTAGTGCACGACTTGCGGAGGGGGTTGACCGGATTGGAGGCCAAGCTGCTGCGTTGGGTACGGGTCCAAGTCCTTGCTGGACGTGGAGAATGTCGAGACCACGGGTTGGTGGTAGCCGTTGGAAGAGGATTGGCTACCTGTCGGTGTATGACCTTGGGGGTGGTGCTCTGCTTGCGTCGGTGTTCCAACATCATTTGGGGACGTAGAGCCCTCGCCAAGATTACCGGTAAGACTATTCATCCCGCCTTCTATATCTCGCAGCAGACGAACGTATTCCTCAGGGACGAGTCCGCTCTCCTGAGTTTTCGGATCTTCAGCTACTAGCCAGCCTTGGCCGTGGCGGTAGGAAACCCATATAATTTGACCTTCCAGCAATGGCAATTCGTTTTCGTTTTCTCTTTCAAAGTCAAAAAGCGCAACGGCTTTGCCGTGCATTTCTTCGTCGGGCGACGTAATGGTGAACTGGTAGTCCCGGGAATATCGTGACTGGTCGTCACCACGGAAACCTGGAGAGGATGCGGAGCTTGAAGCATCTGAATATGTTTCCTGCTCGGCGTACTGCCGCGGGGGCAGGTCACCCAGCTGGTATGCGTGACTGGAATGCCGTGCATCGCCGGGAGGGTAGGTGACATATTCTCCGCCGGGTCCATTCGCTTCCCCTCCTTGGTTCAGGTAGTATCGTTCGCTGCCATCACCACTAGTTCCGACATAGAAACCGCGTTCCCGTTGCTCGTAGTGTGCTGGATGCAGCAAGTCGCTGCCCGCGTCGCGAGAATTTCTCAATCCTGCGGTTCCGCCAAGGGCTGCTGCGGAAGATTTGTGCTTTCGGTGCCTGGAGCTGACGACAGGGCTCGCCAAATCCTCATCCTCACTCCAGGGTGGGCCATCCCGGAACTCCATGGGTGGCAGGTCGTGGGCCTTGCCGAAGCCGTCGGGCCCCCAGGAGCCAGTATTCCAGGTCATTTTTGTTTCCCAGGCAGCGGGAGGATCGGAAAGACGACGAGACTCGCTGAGGGGAGTGCTCAGGCCAGAAGCAGGATGCGACGGCTCTGGCGGGGGACCATAGTGCATGGGATGCATAATCGGATATGCGAAATCGCGCACCAGGGTGTAGGAAAGGCTCGAGGGAAACATTGGAAATATGTGAGAAGGCGGTCGCGAACGCGAGGGGACTGAGCCCGTCGAGTACTGCGACAAGCGATTCTTGGAAGCGTGCGACATTGGTCTCGGTGCGGTCGAGCGACGGCTGGGTGGTGATGTTATTAGTGGCGGTAGTGAGGGGTGATTCGGGTTGGTGGAGGGAGAGGCAGCTGCAGGTGGGGATGTCGCGGGCGAGGAGCTCTGGGACAAGAGTGTGGTCATTCTGAGATTATCGCAATCGTTGAGGAGCCAGCGTAAGGATGACAGGCACCCGATTCGCGGATCCTACGGCGTCGTGTGCCACCAAGCAAGCCAAGTGCTCAGTAGGACCGTTGACCGCACTCGTCGCGCCGAAAATGAAGTAGAGATTCGATTGGCGAAAGCTAGTGTCGGGAGCCACCAAGGCAGTGAATTTGAGGGTTTGCGCAAGTGTTATCGTGAGTTATGCTGCGCGCGGGTCGGAGCGGGTTAGCCTATGCGTACGGGCGGCGGGTAGACTTTGAGGATCGCAGTTCCGAGCGAGGCGAAGACGAACAGAGTTGGGTTCGAAAAGAAGGCGGAGCAACAGCAAGCGGGCTTGCTCGCAAGGTGTCGCAAAACGAAAGTCGTCGCACGCGACGCTGAGGGTTGGAAATCGAATAAGGAGCGTTAAGAACTTAAGGCCGGGAGCGGGCGAGAGCGATGAGATCGGCTCGCGGGGTCGCTCGGGGGTAGGTAGGACAACAAGGAAGATGGAAGAAAGAAGAGCACGGGATGAGGAGAGCGATGGGGAGGGAGGGGGGAAACGGTGGGAGGAAGATGAGAAGATGGGAAGAAGAGGAAGAGGAGGGAAGGTGAGGTTGGGAATAGTTCGTTTAGGTTCAGGTCGCTGGCGCCGTTCTGGCTGCTCTGCTACTTTGGTGCTGGGCAGCCGCTGCGCTGCGAAAAAAGAGAATGTCCCCGTCGCTTCTTTTGCTGGTGCCGTGCTGGTTGGTGGTGGGATTGCGAGGTAAGGTGCCAGCAGCAGGGGAGAGAGAGGGAAAAAAAAAGGTATACTGTAATATGCGTGCGCAAGGTAAAGGTACTCGAAAAGAAAGTCCCTTCGTCTGGTATGGAAAGGTATCCGTAGGTAAGGCAGGCATCAGGGAAGGTACAACGACGAATACAACAAGCAAACAGTCAGTCAACTGAGCCCACGACGCATTCAGAGACCTCAGGTAGAAGTGGCCGTGCCTTTCTTTGCTCGCACCAGACGATGCAGCAGTGAGCACAGATGGGACTGGACTTTTGGACTGACCCACGCTGGAGTGTAAAGTAGGTGCGACGAATTCCCAAGGTACCTCAAGGTACGGACATATGTACCCAGCTACCTTTGGTGGCTGTCAAGGAATGACACGATCTCGAAGTACCACAGCTGTGTACGGATACTCGGTCTTCGTAGGGTTTCTTCTGGTAGGACCAACTGGGTCAGTGAGTACCTTATGGAGAGTATAGCTTAGCCCAAGCAACACCAGAGTCTTTTTTTCTAACGGCGGCACCAGGACGTGTGAGCGGACCACGTACCCCTTCCACTATCTTCAGCTACTTTTTGAGTTTGAATCTTTGGAGAGAGAGACAGAGGGACGAAGAACAGACAGTGGGTATCGACCATTGACCATCAACCTCCAACGCACTGGGACTGCACCCTGCTGCTTCTAAGCGCGTCGCGCAGTGATCCTACTGGCTGTGTGCAGTTGGAACTGGCGGGAAGGGGGGTGAGGGGTGGTTGATGTTGATAGAGGGGGGCAGAGAAGGAGGGGGGACCGATGGGAGGGGAGGAGAGACAAAGGCCAGCACAACAGCGGGCGTGAGTACCTAAGAGACCGAGAGCGGTAGAGAAAGAGAGAGGGCATGGGTTGAGATTCTTGGGAGAACCTTGATGAGAGGAAGAGGCTGATGATTTTCTAGGGAGATCCAACAGTCGGAGGAGAGGCCACAGCAATTAACAATTGACACCAACAGTCGGGAACAAGAACAACGATAGCGCAGGATCCAGGAGTGCGTCAGGCAAAGGCAAGGCATAGCCCAGGTGCGAGAGTGGGAGAGAGGGGGGGCTGAATCCGGATCGATATTAATCATGGCGGCGAACTCTCAAAGAAACTCGAACACAGCAGCCAGCAGATGCCAGAACGAGGGAAGCCCCAAGTCGGCTCCAAATCGGCCCCAAATCGAGTCAGCGCCAACAATTTGTGTCGCTTTCCAGGTTCCCGTCCTCTGCAATCGGCAGGCGTCAACTGATTGGATCTGTACCCATATCCGGTACCTTATGGAAGGAATGCTCTTTGCCCTTCTTTCTTCTCGATCACAGATACCCGTGGGTCACTCTACAAGTACATACATACATTGCCTACGGCTGCCAACGTCAGGTCTGAACTCGAACGGTATCTCCTCCGTCGTCCTCCACGCCCTCGTGGGTATCATTTTCTGGAGACCTGCCAGGAAAACAGTAACAACTCCATACTCTTCAGATGCTGTGCAGCTCTTTACAGGGGTCTGTCCGGTCCAACATGGCAACGCCAAGACCATGACCCTCAGCACGCCCCAGTGCAACTTCAAGTCCGTCTATTCGAGCCTTTCGCTCTGTCCACACATGCACTCAGTTGCTCACCTGCGCTGGTAGAGGACGGGGACTTCATGTCCCCCGTCTGTGTACGAATACGCCCTTCCTCCGCCGCACAGAACTCAAGGTACCTTGGGCTGTCAGTGGGACTACAGACGATGTACCTTGGTTTGTACTGCCTCATGTTCTTGCTGCTGCTACTCATCTCTGTTTGCAGCCGTTGCCACAGCCCACAGACGGGTTCTCATCTTCCCGCCGTATTCTGCATATGTCTGGCAGCGGTCGGGGTGGCTTCAGCTTACCCGTCGTACTCTAACCTCCTATGGACCTGCGATTCGTTCATCAGGAAACTACAAAGTACTCATTACGCACTTCACAGTTCCCCTTTTTTCAACGGTCCCATCATAAACTCAAGGGGATCCCTTCGGCAACCTCACATCGTCTTCCCTGTCGACGACTCTGCCTACGCGTTCGCCGCTGGTTCGGTTGCAACACAGGAGCCTGACTGTACCGACCGACACGCACACCAACGACGGGACACTGAAGCTAGATCTCTTCCCCGCGTGGCCGTGTGCAGCCGCTTCGCATTGCTTCATATCCCACCCGCAAACACCCAATTAACTCCGTCGTCCGTTGTTCAGACTCTCACCCCTTCATTAGGCAAACCTGACACTGTGATGGCCGTCCGTCCGCGCTTTGGGAATGAATGACTTGATGCCTCCTCTTCTCCCTGGGAAGTCTCGCCTTCAGCTCAAACTTTATCCTCACAGAGCCGCCCATGATCTCCGGTCTTGTCCAGCAGGAAGATGGTAAAGGGCTGCAACCACCTCCGGCCCGACTTATCTATGGTATCCACTGTGTACTCCGGCCTACACGGAACGGACAAGCAGGCAGCAAACAGGGGGTCGTCCGAAACATCTGATGGCGAGCGCTGGGTACGGATACATCTATCTGACCTGGAATCCTTTTCAGACGTTCAAGTTTTTGCCCACTCTTTCTCCGCGGCAACGGCCTAGAATCTTGACCAGATACAGAAGGAAGAAGGCTTCAAACAGGGCAAAAGCGGTGCCAGATGCTATTCTTGGTCTTTGGCCGGGCTGTCATCAATAAAACCAATATTGGGTGCTCCAGCACTGGCCGGCGCAGATTCCCGTTCAGGTCGCACCAAAGTCAGACAGCAGCCCGGCCCACAGCTGATTAGCGAGGACGTCCCCGGCGCAAATCACAAAGTATCCAGAAGCGGCCGTCCACTGACATGAGTCTCGCTTTTTAGTCCGAACCGTAACAGCGGGAATCTTTGAGTACGTCTACTGGGGGCCTTGTCTGACCGAGGAGGGGAGGGGGCTGATCGCTCGCTCGCTCGCTCATCCCATTGTTGTTGCGCGAAGTTGCGAACAGACCTAGCGGGGCCAGAGCATGGCATCATCAGAAGATTGATAACTAAGATCACGTCGCGCTCATCTCATCGCGTTCGCTGAGCCCAAAGAACTTGGACTTCAACACTCAAAACCTCTATAAGATGGTGCCGGGTGCTAGATCTGGGAAACCCCCAGTGAACGGACAGCCTGAAGCACAAACAGCCAGCTTCTGCTAGCCATGCGCTATCTCGTTAGCTGCATCTCCCGATCATCAGTGCCAACCGTGGGGCAACCCACAAGCCGATGGATGGGCTTCAATTGAAATTGCAGTATCGACTTCAGTCACTGGGGTGGATGGGAATATCCGTACGTGCCTACGGATAGGGCGAGGTTGCGAAACTCGAACGCTGATCGGCGGGCTCCCGTACAATGCACACCCATCCACGGCTTTGTTGCAGCGGCTGCATCTTTCAATGCCAGTGGCCACGTGCGAAACAGCGGTCACTGACACTGCCAACCAAATAGCACAATGGAACTGTCCTGGTCAGAGATGGGCCGGCAAAAGGTAAGGCGGCTCGCAAGTCTAGTCCGCACTTCCCAGCGAATTCCGTCCTTTGTCGGAGTGCCGCCAACAGCTGCTGTTGGACCGTCTGCCGGCGGGCTCGGTTCATCAGTCTCTCAACGAATGCATCTACGTAGTACTCCGTAGAGACCAAACAGCACCTTGGGCTAGGCAAGCGACCCTGCAGTGGAATAAGGTATCCGTAAGTAATAATGCACAGCCTGACTGGGCCTAGGGCGAAGCGGGAAGTTGCGAGCGCTGCATTGGGCTGGGCGCAGCAAACCATTCAGAACGGACGGAATCACAGGCTACCCGCCAACCCCGAGAGACAGATATTCCTCCGATGATCAGATCCAGTTCTATTGCTTCCCTGCGGCGGCCCTCTCCATGGGTACGGAGTAGCACCGCAACACACAGTCGATGGGCCGACCGCAAGCCGCCGGGAGAGGTCTAGCCCGTGGATCCTTCAAGGACTGGACGAGACTGTCATGGGCCCCCTCATTTCGTACACGATGGCTGTGCTCGAATATCCGTACTGGCCAGTGGCTACGACTTGCAACTTTCACACATGACCTACGTTCGATCAGTCGAGAACGAACAATTGTCTCGAGCTAACGCCATCTTCAAAGTTCAAAGACTATGGGGGCTGGTTCCTCTCTGGCTGGGCTTCCAACGCCATCAGATGCCTCTGTACTCATTGGCCGTTCTATTTCTGGACAATGTACGCCGTCCACGGCAGCTGCAATTGGGAAGTTGGAGTCGTGTTAATTGGTGCCCTCGAAGGTGTCGTCTGTTTCAGAGTATGTGAGCGCCTAAGAGCCAATCACGCTCGCTCATCGCAAACAGCCACGTGAGTTGGGCCATTTTGGTTGGGAAGCTCAAGTAACTGGAATCTGACTGAAATCTGAAGACGACGCATTGGGCCTGGATGCGCCTCAGGCAGCTATCTTGGTCCATGAACCCCCGGCCTGAGGCCGAAGATCTAGTGGTGCCCCGCCCTGCCCTGCTTCCAAGGCCCGTCATTTAGCCGAAAGAGCTATTCAATTCTTCACTCAAAAGGAACGTCATTGAGGCTCTTCCTTCTTTCAACTGCCACAAAAACACAGCGTCGAACTCGGACTTTCCAACCGGCCACGTTTTGACACAGCTGGAGGTTAGATAGAAATCTGGCAACATTCCTCTGCGGAGGACAGGAAGGAAGAAAGAGAAACTGATTGATCGCGAAGCTGATCGAATCATCCCAAAAGGTAAGGCAAAAAAACAACAAATCGCGACGAGCAAACAAACCTGCCGTCTTTTGAGCTTTCCATGATGAGATTCTTTTATTGGAGCTGTCTAAATTCCCCATGTTGAGACACTTAATTACCTTATACGCTTTGTCTGAAAAATCGCGCTCAAATACTCTCTACCTCGAACATAAAAACAGTTATTTCTGGATTTTTGGCTAATTCGGAAACATAGATCAGATTTCTTCTCAACGAACGACCTCTACGACTGGACGCGACGACCACTCGCGATTCGACTTTTTTTTTTTTTCCTCGACCCGCTGACTTTTCTCTCTTGCTGACCTAAACATTTCTCTGCCCGTTGTTGACCTTTTCGACGGCCCCACGTTTATCACATAATCATCCATTTCCATTTGACTGTTCCCGTCGCCGCGCCTGTTGATATCCACTTCCCACCTTTCGTGGAGCTCCCGCCGTCCTACCATACATAGTCTGTACCTATCGAGTATCGAGCTTGCCTGCTACTTGCCCCACCAACATCGTCACTCTCCATCGCCATACACATATATCAAACATCGTCACAAAAGCCATGGAGATCGCAAACGGCACCGGCGCCGCAGCCGCGACAGCTGGAGGAGAAAACCAGACAGCGCCTACGAATGGCGATGCTGCCGCTTCCTCGAGCGACTTCAAGCTCAAGTTCTGCACGGTGTGCGCGAGTAACCAAAATAGGTACGATACAACCACGACTTCCCCCTTTGCCGCTTTTTTGTCACGAGAGCACATTCGAGCATCATGGACTGGCCCGCATCCTGTCCATGAACCCAATCGAAGGAGAAACAACACTAACCACCCACACCCTCCTTCAAACAGATCAATGGTCTCCCACCTCCGCCTCGCCCAAGCAAACTATCCCGTAATCTCCTTCGGCACAGGCTCCCTCGTCCGCCTCCCGGGCCCCTCCATAACCCAACCAAACGTCTACCACTTCAACAAGACGTCCTACGACTCGATCTTCAAAGAGCTCGAATCAAAAGACACCCGCCTCTACCGCGCCAACGGCGTCCTCAACATGGTCGACCGCAACCGCCACGTCAAATGGGGCCCCGAGCGCTGGCAGGACTGGCAGGTCGGCATGCCGCGCCTCACCCACGCCGAAGACCGAGGCAGCGTCGGCGTCGAGGGCGGCGTTGTCGACGTCGTCATCACCTGCGAGGAGCGCTGCTGGGATGCCGTCATTGACGACCTCATGAACCGCGGTAGCCCGCTGAATCGGCCGGTTCACGTGATTAACGTCGATATCAAAGATAACCACGAGGAGGCGAGCGTTGGAGGGCGCGCGATTTTGGACCTGGCAAATGCGTTGAATGCGGCGGCGACTGAGGAGCGCGAGGCTGTGGGCGCCGCGGCGTTTGATGGTGGCAGCGCGGGGGGTAGGGCGAGCTTTGATGAGAGGGTGCCGGATATTTTGGCGGCGTGGCAGGATCGGTGGCCTCACTTGCCTGCCGTGTGGACTCTTGCTTGGTTCTGAGAGAGCTGGGTCAGTACGCGCGAACTTTGTGGCGGCATGTTTGTTGGTACGAGAGCTCGACAATGCTCTCCCGAAGTTGGAGAACCTCAATTCGAATTGGGGATGAGTAAAGGCGGCCGCTACAGTACCTACAAAGACGAAGCCGTTATTTGGTCCGGTACGGAGGTTCGGAAACACTTCCCGGGTCACTGGAGATCTCACATCAAGGCGGGGCGGCTACGCCGATCACGATCCTGATCCCGACGCACGGACGAGATCGAGGGAAAGTCATGGTTCAGTCCCCGTGAGGAGGTTACGATTGCAGTTGCAGCTCTTCAGTATTGATCGACACGGTTTCCCAGGTAGCTTCTTCGTCACATGACGAAAGGAAGGGTCATGCGAGGAGGCCAGCATCATGAGCTCCGAAATGGAAAGCAGCTCGGGAGAAGGGAAGATGGAGCTTGCGATTCTATACATAAAACAGACCAACCAGGTCAAGATCCATCATCAGACGAAGAAAGTAGGAGGCAGTCGTTGACGGATTAGAAATGGGAATTGGCGGAGAGGAAGCCATAGCCGAGATCGAGGGCCGGATGGCGAAGAGAAGCTTAGAAGCTTCGGCTCCGCCAAAGAGGTGTAAGACGGCGACTTCACTTGGCCCTTGGCCGTGTCAAAGGTGCGAATCATGAAGAGAGAGACTTCAGCATCTCCAGCCGGAAAGAGAGGTTCGGGTTCGGGAGAAGATACCCCCCAACACACAGACGAACTATGAATTAATGATACCACTTCCCAAAAGACAAGAAAACAATCCCCTGGATCCTGGTTATTGAGTGAACAAGCCGTGCCGAAGTCACCTTTGCCTTATTTCAATCCGAGTCGCGTGGAGGGCCTGCAGGCTGCGACTCGGAGCCCCAAAAGCTCGAGAGTTCAATCAAACGCCCGCGTGCCGTTGCCGTTGGGCCGTTGGTGTCGCTTTAAGCTATCGAGGCCGCGTTTCGGAGCTAGCCTTAGTCGAGGCAAGTTTCACGAAGCTTCGAGTATCCCGTCATGGTGGTGTGGGTGTGTATGTGCCTTCGCTGGAACGTGACCGGGGCTCGATCCCTCCCATACCTTCGAGTGCCAACGGCGGCCTTGCAGCCTTTCCGTCTCTGGGGCTAACTATCCCGTAGTTAGTGTGCGTTCGGGATATGTGGTGGCCCGGGAGATCTGTGTGATTCAATAGACTATGCCACGGACCGTGAGGTTGCGTTGAGCACACGGCCTTCTAGAAGCTTTTCAGGCTGTGGCCTCCTGGCAATAACACGCTGCACTATTGCCAACGCTGAGTGATGAACCGGACTAGAGTGGTTTTCTCATCGTCTTGCGTCACTGCGCGTAGAACAGTAGTCGGAATGTCCTCCGGCTAGACGGCAACTTTTGACTACCGTTACGGCGCAGTGAATTGCACACACATTGGCGTTCTCATAACTAGGATAACTCCGTACACCCAAGCGAATTTTGTTCTCCGGTGTCACCAGATTCCAATCTCCAGGAAGACTGTCTAGGCCTTGTCGTCAAGGGGAACTGGCAAAGCCTGCGTCCGCAGATTGCAGGCGGATGAACCGGACAGTCCAGGGCTAGGAAGTTTTGGAGCGGTGGGGGTTACGTATGCGAGCCCGCGTACTGTAAAGATCGTATCCGCGAACCCTCATGTAACTCAGCGAACACCCGGCGAGGCCATCTCAGCCCGTCGAATGTTCGAAGGCATGGCCAAGCTTCATTCCCGTCTCAGGCCCTCAGGGTGGCCGGGTCGGGCAACGGGAGGGGTTTATGCGGTCTGAAGGTACCTTGCAATGTCACATGCCCCCGTTGAGCCTCACCTCGTGGCCGGGTCTCTCCCACCCTGGAGCGTCTGGGTCTTGAATGATTGGCTCGGGAGGATGAGCACAAGATGCTACAGCCTACCGGTACCGAATCAGGGTGTGCTCGAATGTCGCCGTGAGGATGCGTATGTTGAAAGGCACTGACAGCAGAATGATCGCGGCGCGAAAACGGTGCTGGCCCATGAGTATGACCAGTGATGAAGGCAGACGCCTTCGAGATGGGTGCCAGATTGGGGATCTGGATCTAGAGGGATGGATCCCTCTCTGTGGTTCCAAGAGGGCTGGACCAGTCGAGACTCTGGTGAGCAAAGTGTTTGTCGAACCAAAGTAGGAAGGGCAGGGCGGGCAAGATGAGATGTAATCTAAAGTGCAATAAAACGATGCATGGGGGCCGGCGAGGTTTACGCACCGGTTGTCCGGGCAGAATAACCAGGCATAGGAAGAGGTAGCGGCGGCTGAACGGGACGCATGCATGGTACATCCTGTTCTGAAAGTACGGAAGAGCGCTCATCAGCACCAAGAAGTAGCATGTCGTTGAGATGGAACTATTCCTGAACACATTTTTCCTCGTCATCCATAGCTTTGCGATTTGCTTGCCTCAGAGTCTCCCGATTGTCTGGCCACAAGAGCTGGTGGAAGCAGAGCCAAGAGTCTGGGGTTGTCAGAGACGTCCGCATGCGTATGGACAGCAGCGTAGGGCGGAATCTGAAGGGCAGAGACGGACGACAAGCAACGGTGACAGCTTGTCAAGGGGCTGCAGAGGCAAAGCCAATGCCTTGTCTTGCCGCGCTCGCCAGCCAGCATGGCCCAGCATCCCGCGGCTTTGAAAGGTCTCGTCTCGAAAAGGTAGACAACTGTCGAGCTGGGTCCGGCACCCCCTTGCTCAAGGACGCAAGCAAATCGCATCTCCACCATGCTTAAAATCTATCCATGTCAGTAAGGGCAGGGGAACGGAGGGCAAGCCGCAAGGCACGTCTGCTGTCCGGATATGCCCATGCCCAAAGCTCAGCGAGGCCCTTGTCGTCGTCTCCAATTCTTGTCCCATTTCCCACAGACACTGCCACCGTCGAGTGACAGGCCGGGCCCTGGAGCAAATCCACCTTTGAATTTTGCTGCTAGCGCGCGCCAGGTGTGATGAACCAATGGGTAGTGGAAAGGCCGCGCCATCACAGCATGGGTAGAACATTTGCTCAGGGGTGACGGAGGCTGCATTGGCCCTGGAGATCTAGGCCTGCAGGGTTGCATGAGTGAGGGCTGGTTCCTGAAAGTCCCATTGTTGCGAACAATGGGAAGGAGACGTCAATTTACTATGTATGGTGGAAGTGTGCGCGAAAGAATTGATGGAAACCATGATGATGCTGATGATTATGTATGTGTAGGAAGAAGATAGAATCATTTGAGTTACGAGTATGTCTACCTTAGAATATGTGCTTACCTACTCCGTATCTTCCAGCTAAATTGTGCGGGAGTAGCCATGGACTGCAAATTGTCTTTCGGCAATGACACTGCCAACGACAGGCAAGAGAGGCAGGAGCATTCCCTTCCTTGCTACCGAATGGGTAGTAGGATTTGTGGATGAACCCGCGAATCATTTGCAGTCTACCGGGACGGTACGTACAACGTCAGATTTGCAGTGGCTACCTCTAATGGTTCAGCATATCTGCAAGGTACCTACGGATAGGTACTGCTTTGGGTGTCATCAGCAATGATTGATGGACGGTTCTTGGTCCTGATTCTGTGCCTGCCAATACCCGCGTGATGTGGTAGTGAAATCCACCTACCCATCAAGCCGGCGATGGCGCAGCAACGTTGGGGCAATCTTGATGGGAATCAGGATTCCGCGTCTCGATAATTATGAGTAGTAGTATTCGTATATCTCTCGTTTGGGTCCTTGTTCCCCCAGGGCCAAAGGTAGAATATTCGCACATTCATCGTCCATGTCTTGAATCGTGCCGTGTCTTTGAATTTGTCTCGTTCAAAAGACCATTGCATCTTATCCCCTTTGCAGACTTTTGCCAATCAGGCCGGAAGACGGACTAACAGCAACATCTACCAGTCCGTTTCAGTCTTTCAGAGATTCAGCTGGACCGGGGATGGATGAGACTGGATGGGGCCTCGGGGACCTACGGCGCGGGCATTCCAAGCTGGAAATGAACATGTAGGGCGAGACTTTTCGCCCATGGCGAAGGCTTCTCTCTCCCGGTACCCACCAGGGTTAGCTTGTTTTGACCGATCTCTGGCTTTGTGGAAGCTGCCCGTCCATGTAACGGCACTTGCCATTTCGAACCTCGACTCGAGTAACTTGCGCAAGTTTGGGTTGGTCTTGAGGATGGTCTTTGAGGGCGAAGCCCGAAAACGAGGACAACTTTGAACTCCTGTCTCTCCCTCGAGGGGGGAGAAGAAACAAGTGTTTGGTGCTTGGGATGGTCTGAGCTGGCTCCCTCCATCAGCTGGGACGGTGCCATTTCGAAGGTATCGCATCAGTACCTAGCTGTGGTTGTGCATATGTATTGGGCTACAAGTGAATACACTACAGAGTACTCCGTAGTTGGACAGGATGATAACATACCGACCTCCTCTGCCGGCAAAAAGGCCCCCTACTATCACCACCATCATGCGTGGATCGTCAAAAAAGCCATCAGTGATCATGGACGATGAACATGACGATTGGAGCAAGTGGCCCCCAACATTATCCCCGGAGGTGACCCAAAAGAGATTGATCATCGCACAACCACGGCGGAGAGTCGCAATATTATCATGGGCAATTTCGCAAGTACCACGCGATGCATTCTCCAGCCATGATCGGGTGTCTGATGCACCCAAGGGTACATATCTACAAGAGGAACAAGACAGGACAACGGCGGGCTGTGTTCTCCAGCGTCATTTCCCCTCCTCCACCCCCCTTACCCCTTCCCGGCAGCGGCCCCCTTCCCCCTTCCACTAAGGTTGCCGTGCGTGCGTTCCTCCCTTCTCGACTCCTTCTCGACCTCTCGAGTACCTACCTACTTGGTGTAACTTGTACCTTGTATCTTCCAGCAAGTCCATCCCTTCCCTCCAGCAACGCAACAGCGGACAGCGCTAAGGACAAGCTCCAGCGCCCAGAGCAATTCATCACTAGGTGCTGCAATCGCTGCCCACAAACCTTTATCAGTGCGTCCA